ACAAAAAAATACAGTTTTAAAACAACTTCACTAGAATAATCAAAAGGAGCATAAAAATTTAGTCAGACTTCTTAGATTTTTATAGTGATCCTTCTATCTATGCCTCAGGAAATAATTATACAAATCCGTGCCACATTAGTAACATTGTTCTAGACATCAGAGAACAGTTACATTTTGTACTACAGAATCATTACTGCAGTAGCTCTACTGAAACTACAAAGCTGAAATAGGAAGCAGTCCGCTCCTTCCATCACAAAAAAACATCAAAACCCACCAATGAGCAGACAAGTTCGTTCACGAGACTGCTTGTGAGCTTTTGAAAACTTTTTAACTTAGACATTGCAGAGTTACAAAATATATGATCACATATCTCATACACTTATAGCTTATACAAAAACTGGTAAGTTTATTTCAATACCTAAATGGCTTCTATCAACTGCAGCAGCACAAAACCTTGTGCAAAAGTAACAGCCCAAGAACTTCCAATCAAACAGAAAAACAGATTCTTCTTGATCTTCAAAGTGAGAGTTGAAAGTTATTTATCAGAGTATTGCTTTCTTTTTTGCTGCACCTATTTGGTTAATGGGGAGAGAGGTCCTCTTTTTCTCTAATCCTGTATTTCCAAAGGTTTTATATTTCTCAGAATGCAGAATAAGAAAAACATTGGCTAAAAACATGTAAGTAGGTAGAAACTAAGAAGAACTAGGAGCAAGCACAAATGGTTATAAACAAAATGCAAACAACTTTGCTCACAGGTTTGGAATTCTGCAGAAAAGTAAAGACTTGATTCAGAACTGGTATTCAAGTCACCCCCTACATTAGCAAAGTAACTCTGAGCACCATCTTCTTTCAAATTAGTATCACTGAAATGACAGAAAAGTTTAGGCTGAAAGGGACCTGAACGTCACCTAGTCTAATTTCCTAATCAACTTATGGCTAACTTCAAAGTTAGATCAGTTTGCACATGCAACACTCCATCATGATTTGAAAATTTCCAAAGATGAAGACTCAGCAGCCTCCCCCAGGCAGCCTGTAACAATGTCACTGTGCATTATTTCTACCAAACTGAAATGTCCCTTGTTTTAAGTTGTGATTATTGCTACCTCTCCTTTCTTATGTCAGTGCAACTCTGAGAAGAGTTTGGCTCCATCTTCTCTACAATCTTCTTGTACCACAGATTACAACCCTGGACCATGCATTAGAACATAAAACTCTTACTGAAAAATTTGCAATTCAACAACTATACACAACTAACAATCAGCTCATAAAATGTTTGTTTGCCCAAATAATTAATTATTTGCTCTTAAGGACCGCAAAAAACCTCTCCCCTTTCTGTCTACAGACATCCTACATTTTGCCTAAGAATCCTCTTATGCTAATCCATACTGCTAATTCTCATAAGAATAGAAAAGTCAGGTGCTCAGTTAAGTAGTATGTTTTACAAGCAGGGCAACTTTCCCAACAGTATTACTCAAAGTATGAACATAAAAACACATCAAAAACAAAGAATCATTGTTTTACTGTGCAAAATACCTAACCAAGCAAGATGGTCATCAGCCAAGCAGTTGCTTGTATTCAACCAATTATTCTAATCTCAGTCACAAGAAACAGAATATGAAACACTGAGCTTCATTCTTCCTAAACCAGGTACATGGCAATATAATGGATAACATCATCAGCTGCAAGCTAATTCAGTGTGATGCTAAATACTTCTTCCTATTCCTCTATCAGTTATGGCATGTAGTCCCTCCTTCTATTTCATGGGAATTGGTCAGAGGCTGATCTTCCTTTGCTAGAATTCAAACTAGAATTTGCTAGAATTCAAACTAATTCTCTGAAGCCCATGTTTTTGACAGGGGAACAACAGCTGATGATTTTTACTGCCAATAAGTATGTTAAAGATTGCAAAGATTGCAAACCTAGAATGTCGTTACTACTAAACTTAAAACATCATTTTTTTCAGAATGAACCTAATTCATTGGTTTTGAAGTTGATAATAGGCACTTTGCAAACTCTACATTATACCAAAATAATGCTGTCTACTCAATTCAACTCTGGGCTCAGAATCTCATGCCACTTTCTATAAGCAACACCAATCTGCTCTGTCTATTTAGGGGATTAATATTTATTGTATATAAACAAGATTAATAAACTTTTAACATATAAACATATTGAAATCTCTTAAATTAATTCAGGAAAGTAATATGTTTGCTGTCTCGAGTTGGGAAATTTCAAGGTCCATTACAACCTAAAAAATTTCCCTACTTAATCTTATTTCAAGGAACAAAATCCTCTTCCACAGGAAAAAAAATAAACGTCTGCTATTCTTCTAGTACTCAGCAATTTGTCCCACCTGATGGAGAACATTTTGGTTTCAAGCACAATGGTAACTCTTTCAGGCTGCTGACAAACAACTATACTCTTTGATTATAGCTAACTTTTTTACGGTCAGAATCCCTGCTCTGATTACAGTCACCTCTGCGACTCCTAATATTCTTATTTCTAACTTCCCTGATAATTTTCAGCAGAAGTGTGGCTAAGCCTCTGCTCTTCTAATTTGAGTGTAACTGTCTCCTCACCTCTCACTGAGTTTTTATATATTACTCCATTTTTCTGTATTAGAGTTTTCACTTCACTCATTTTCTGTATCTGTTATTATAATATTCTTCAAGAAGATTTACATTATCTTAACACTTTAAAAAATTTCTATCAAAACCACTTTTTTCATCAGTCAGTTAAACAGCTCAAAGAGTAGCCACTGTTTTCAGATACTTAATAAACTCAGAATTATTTACTGAAATGTAGATAACTTATTCAGATTTTTTTTATTTATAATGTGAATGGAAGCATTATCTATATTTTACTCACAGATCTAGTACACATACTAAGAATCTAACAATTGTACTATTAACAAAAATCTGATTTATGCTGGGCATTCATTTCCATGAGCAGTTCAATACTTCAAGAACATGACAATATTTTTTAAATTATTACACACACACAAAAAAAAAAAAAATTCTTTACTCAGGGCCTATACCCCTGAAATAATAATTACAACAGAAAAAAAACTTAAACTGTAGAGTGAAGAAATTTTTAACACTAATCAGCAATTCACAGATACCGTTACAAAACATATCAAGAACAAACTGAATTAATACATTGAATCATCAATCACACTAATGGTTCTTCTTGGTTAAAAGACGTCTTTTCTAAGAAACTGATGTAAAATTGGGTATCATCTTCAAGGTATCATCACCCTCAGAAAAAAATGTAAAGGAAAAATTGCAGTAAAAGTACTGCCTGATAGCAAGTAATTATAATAGACACTACTCCCCTTTCCAGCAAATCTTTCCTCACCATACCCCCCTCACTTCTCCTTTCATATTGTTCTGTTTAAGAGCTTTCAAGTTTTCTTATTCCTTCTCCTTCAAATTATTTCCTCTCTTTAGCACTTTGTTGCAAGCAAAAAATAATCCTTAAAGCAACGTATGTATTACAAATAAACAAACAGCTAGTCCCCGTTTTACAAGTGGTTATCAGACAATTTTCCCCTGTGTTCCATGTGAGCCAGTCAATGGGGGAATTAGTATATATAATATAAAACTATAAACTTGTTTTTGCATACCTGTTGGAAACAAAAATGCACAAAGTGTAAGAACTTAAACTATTCTTAAACACTGGGAAAAGCTTCAAATTCCATAAAAGACAGTCATAGCAGTGAGTTTCAGCTGATGCCTACAAGTTCCTATCACAGCTCCCAGGTGGGAGTGGCTGTCTTCCCACCATTTAGAGAAAATACACTGCCTATCATGCTACTTACTCAGTACAGTATTTTTCAGTTCTCCATAAGACCAATGTGGCTGTCTTGAAGAACTACTTGCAAACCCAGTAAATTCAAAAAACATGTATTACTACTGTACTTGCCAGGGTATCTGGTTTCACTATGGAAGCACTTGACAACTCAAATTTAAGAGCACACAAGAACTTTGCTACCTGTATCCTAGGATTCAAATCATCCTCCAGTTTTTTTTTAAGAAAATATTATACTAGTATCACATTAACCTAAGACATATATTACTAATACAGGAACAGCGTTAGGAAGTGTGGGTTAGATGAAGGGACTGTGGGAGAGATTGAGAACTTCCTAAACAACGGAGCTCGAGGGTTTGGATCAATGGAACAGAGTCCAAACGGAGGCCTATTGTCTTTTGTAGGCACATAAAAAGACCCACAGTGTTTTATGGAATTACTAGCCACTAAAAGTTTTCATCAAAGTTTGGATGACTAAAAACTGCCAGAACTAATCTAAGCATAAGGTATCTTCTCTATAAATTTCTCATTATTTTATGTTCTCTTCCAGGTATTTTGAAAACAAAAAATAAGATACTATGATCAAAAGGAAAGCATTTTCCCATATACTTTAAGATATACGTATGACACAATCAGTGTGCATAACATTAAACCTACTTTAAAGCTGCTCAAAATTCTAAAATTATGGATATTTAGGAACAACCTTTAACATTGAATCTTATCTTATATTTGGCCTACAGAACTAACAGTAGAGAGAATGTAACTCTGATTCAAAAAAGCAATTAAATGGACGTTTAATACGAAACACATTATTTAGTCCCAAAGGACAACTGAACTGAAATTAATTTCAAAGACGCCTTACAGGAGTCTTGGAGCTCAGATAGTCTTGGAGTTCACAACTTGTTAAATTTCTCATATGGAACCATTACAATCTTCTCCTGTTGACCTCAAATAATCCTTATGTACCTACTAGCCTTCTCCTTGAAAATTGAAGAATGCATTACTATGATGTGCTTTTTGTCGCAAATCTCACATATTTCACAGCATTTGCAGCTTAAAAAAAACAAAAATACCATCTCAGCTTTTCAGTAAAGTTTATCACTGTGAAGCAATCGTACCCCATCTGTTTCGCTTAGTCAGCTGAAACAAACAGTAAAAGAAAATCATCTTTGATAAAAATGTAAACTTGCCATGACTTGGGCTCCCCAAAATGGAGATAATTAATACTGTAGAGATCCATGTCTTCAGTGTGCCAAGCAAATGTTGTTTTCCACATGCCAAAATATAGATATGGTGTATTTACACCCTCAATAGAAATGCCACAGTCTTCTTCTACAACATCCAATATTGTATTAAGATGGGCAATATTCCACTCCTCAACACCCTGAAAAAAATAATGAATGTATTAATAAATTTCCAAAGTAATGCAATTTTATACAATAGCTTCACTCAAAAGACACACCTCATCTAGTCCTTCTGAAGACTCTATATTACTTAGTACAAATTTATAAGCACTTTAGAAGACAGTTAAAAGAATTCTCCTTTGGGTAATCTTAGTAAGATTTACATCACGTTCAGAGTGCAGAACATAAGGAAGTTTAGATCTCCTTAATACTTAATACATTGTGGATTACAACACTATACACAATAGAAATAATAGCTGCAGACAAAATCTTCGATGAGTTGACAGCTGGAAGCTAAACATGCCCTTAACCATGACCTGCTCTGTACCCCCTCTCAGCAGCCTCTGTACAGCTGTGGTAATCTTACTCAATCCTGGGGAATGAATTGACAGCAGACTCCAGTCCTGATGCAACTGATTAAGACAAAGAAAAGTGGTCAGACTGAGCAGTTGAAAAGGTGGTGAAGTAAGAATGTAGGTTAAAGCAAGAAGTAATGAACACTTAATACTCTCAGTTTTCACCCTCTTATGTTTTGATATTTTATGTCTGGCATGTTACATATTTAGCAACTAGAACTGATACACAAGATGCTAACCTCTACATGAAGTTCAGTTTTCTCATTGAAAAACTTCTGGCTGCCTGCTATGACTACTCTACACAGTAAGAAAACCTGTAACTTATCTGGGACTTCTACGAAGGAGTAAGTGACTTTTACGGAATGAGTTCATTTCAGGCAGCAACTTTTGTTCTTTTTTTTAAAATGGAAGCTTTGGCTTCGATGCATCTGTGTGACAAAGACACTTGAAATTTAAAAATTATAAATAAATAAATAGAATGACCAAAATAAAAAACTAAGCACCAATATAAACTAAAATGGTGATATTAAAATCTGCACCTTTCAAATCTAAAAATCATAATCATTAGCAAGGTAGTAGAGCTGTAAAATATAAAATTTGTTCCAAGAAACTATTTTGACTAATTATTCTTCCAATTAACTTAGAGATTTATTTTTTTTTAAATCACATCAGTTTATCTTTGTTCACAAATTGTGCAGTCCAGTTGGAGAAACAAACTAATACAGCAAAATAAGAGGAATGACTCAACCACATAGGCACAGACACACTTAGAGGGTTAGAAGACAACAATAAGCACACCATATAAAAATCAACTGTTAATCTAGGCACTATACTCTTTCTGGCAGTTGCCAAAAGCAGAAGAGAAACAGTCTAAGCAAAGCAATACTTCCCCAGAATACTCTACCAGCCTGTAGCAATTTGCAGATTGAAGGATTGTCCAGAAAGAGCTGCTGTCCTTCTACCTAACAGTGCGCCACGGGCTTTTTACCAGTTTGTTCAGCCAGTCACCTTCTTTAATCCATGTAAGTTTTTAGCAATCAGAACACTTTGAAATATTACTCTTTTCTTACTAAGAATTAAGTGATAGTTATGAAAATAAACTGGGTTTGGGGTTTTGGTGGGTTTGTTTTGGTTTGTTTGGGGATTTTTCTGGGTTTTTTTTGTGGTTGTTTTTTGTTGCATTTTGTTTTCGTTGTTTTTTTTTTTTTTTTTAACACCATATCTCATCTTTTCACCTTCTATTACATCAAGACACAACTAGTCACCAAGCAAATAGCTAGTCATTTGTCCATAAAACAAAAGCAAATCCTCCCATGGAGAACAATCCTAGCAGAAAAAGCTTGCTTCAAAATACCAAATACACAATCCACAACCTCTATACTTCAGATGCAAGAGCTGTTTCCATTTCTTACCGACTATTTTGTACAAGTAGTCTTTGCTCAAAAGGAAATGTTCACTGAAACTGACTAAAAGACTAAAATCACACTGATTAATTTTAGCTCTTCCTACATTCCAAAACACTAAGTAAAATGCTTACCTGAAATTTTAAGTAAAATATCTATTCTGTTTTGTCAATAGTTATATAAATGTTTTTAAACTTTACTATTGCAATGCACACCACAAACATCACAGAAGCTGTAAAAGAGCAGTTTCACAGGTCACTACATCACAATACTACTCCAAATTAAAGAATACCTTAGCAGGTTATGCTATATTTGATAACCGTCATTAGAACACAAGTACACATATTACTTGACCGTCAAATGTAGCTGACAGTTTCTTCCAAATACAAAAGAACCTTTTAGACATTATAATCTGTTTATGTCAGGAAAATATCAACCATTTATTCTGCTCAGGATACCACAACAATATCAGGATATTATAAAAATTTCCAGGGAATGTGTAAAGAAAGTATTCCCAACTAATCCTAATACATAGAGAATATATTTATCCTATAACCTATATAGGATGTATCTACATAGAACACATACAAAGTATGTACCTACATAGTATACATCCAGGATATACAAATAAATATCCTATTTATATATCCTATATCCTAATTTATCCAACTTACCTAGTTTACCATTCTTATGGCAAATTCTTTAAAGAATACCTGTCATCTTTGACAAATGTGTTACACAATCCGGATCAGGAAAATATTATTTTTCCTTCTTTACTATAACATAGAAATACAGGCTTGAAACATCTTACCATCTATAGTCATTGCTATGCACATTAGACTTACCTTGTATTCCTTCAAAAAAATACTGTAAGGTACATAGTAGCTTATATAGAAGATCACTATTCCAGTCTTCACTAAATTTATAGAAGAATCAAGCTTACTGTAAATTACTATCAAGAGTTCTTGACTAACAGCCTTTGAAACAACTTTTATTGCAATGTGGAGATGAAATGGGACAGTTGACAAGCAGATCTCAAATACCTAAACACCTTCACAGTTTAGAAGGAGCTGACCCATTCTTTCCTCAAAAACATATAGAAAAATGTAGTTTCCAGTATATTGGTAAAAAAATGAAGCTCAAGATTTTAAGCAGAGATCTCTTTGCAGATAAGAATAAAATAGGCTCCAAATGTTTTATTCATTTCCTTTTTTAGAGTACTTAAAGTGATATACTATTCTTTGCACTTTACTATGAAAATGTAATTTAATTTATTATCAATCAAATCAGAGTAGGATAATGAGAAAAAAACTAAATCTTAAAACACTTTCCCCCTGCCTCTCCATTCTTTGCAGGCTTAGCTTTACTCCCAAATTCTCTACCACCTTCCCCACAGCAGTCCAGGGGGACAGGGCATGGGTGTTGTGGTGAGTTCATCACACACTGTCTCTGCCAGTCCCTCCACCTCATGGGGAGGACTCTCCACACTCTCCTCCTGCTCCAGTATGGGCCTCCTCCCGCAGGAAAAAGGTCTTCACAAAGAGCTCCAAGTGTGTATCTCTTCCTCCAGGTCATAATTCCTGCCAGCAAACCTGCTCCAGCCTGGACTCCTCTCTCTCCACAGGTGCTGCTCCAGTCCAGGCTTCCCACAGGGTCACAGCCTTCATAGGCATCCAGCTGCTCCAGCACAGGGCTCTCCATGGGCTGCAGGTGGATTTCTGCTTCACGCTCCACAGGCTAGAGGGACAAATGGCTCACTGTGGTCTTCACCACAGGCTGCAGGGGAATCTCTGCTCCAGTGCCTGAAGCACTTCCTCCCCCTCCTTCTTTACTGACCTTGATATCTACAGAGCTGTCTCTCACACAGTCTCACTCCTCTCCCCAGCTGCAATTGCTGGTGTGTAGCAGGCGGTTTTTTCCCTTCCTAAACATGTTACCACAGAGGCACTACCAGCCACTGCCTAGGCCAGCAGCAGGTCTGTCTTGGAGCCGGTTGCCGTTAGCTCTGTTGGACCCAGGGGAAGCTTCAAACAGCTTCTCACAGAAGCCATCCCTGTAGCCCCCCACTACCAAAACCTTGCCACACAACCCAAATACAATACTGTAAAGGATGGCATACAAGATGCATACTTAAGGCAGTTTGCAAAAGACAATCTGCAGGACTACCTCAGCAGGGATGGAGAAATCCACAATCTCTCTAGGCCACTTGTACCCGAGCTCAATCACCCAGACACTCAAAAAATGTTTCCTCACATTCAAGAAGAACCTCCCATTTTTCAGTTTGTCCCCATTACCTCTGGTCCTGTCACTGAGCACTGCTGACAAAAGCCTGGCTCTGTCCCCTTTGCAACCTCCCTGCAGGTACTTATATCCATTGATAAGGTCCCTCTGAGCTTTCCCTTCCCTAAGATGAACCGTCCCAGTTCTCTCAGCTTTCCCTCAAATGAGAGATGCTCCAGTCCCTTCAACATCTTAGTAGCCCTTAGCTGGGCTCTCTCCAGTAGTCCTATCTCTGGGAAGGAAAAGGGAGCCCAAAACAGGGCACAGTAGTTCATGTGTATCCTCGGTAGTGCTTAAGATAAGGGAAGCATCACCTCCTTCAACCTGCTGGCAGCCTTCCTCCTAACAACGCACAGGACGTTGTTAGCCACCTTTGTTGCACTAGCATATTGCTAACTCGGGCTCAAGTTTGTGTCCCCCAGCACCCCCCAAGGACTTTTCTGGAAAGCAGCTTTCCAGCCTTCAGCATGCAGTAGGTACTACATGTACCTGGGGATTTTCCTCGCCGCGTTCAGGACCTTACACCTCCCCTTGTTGAGCTTCATTAAGTTCCTGTCAGCCTCTTTCTCCAGCCTGTCAAGGTCCCTCTGCATGGCAAGCATGACCTGCTGGTGTATCAACCAATCCTCCCAGCCCTGCATCATCTGCAAAGTCTGCCCCATCATCCCAATCATTAATGAAGATGTTAAAGCAGGACTGGACCCAGTACTGAACCCTGGGGTACACTTACAGAAATCTTTCTTATTGACTTCAGTATTTCTCAGGTTCAATTCCAGACAGGCTTTGACATTCTCAATTTCTGCAAATTTAGACAACATCTCTATATTCTTCACAGGTTGTACATCCCTACTTCTCACTCCCATGTATTTCCTGTTTATGCTTGAGTTTTGTCAGAAGCTCCTTGTTCATCCATGCAGACTCCTCGCACTTTTACCTAACTTCTTCCTCATTAGGACAGACCATACCAACCAGCTTTCTTGGGCCCTTCTTCCCTCCAGGGCCTTATCCCACAAGACTCTTCCAATTATATCACTGAAGAGGCCAAAGACCACTCTCCTGAAAGCCAGGGTTATGGTCCTGCTTTCTGTCTTGACAACTTCTCTCAAAATCCTGAACTCCACCATGTCATGGTCACTACAGCCAAAGCTCCCTTTGACTTTCACATCTGCAAGGAGTTCTTCCTTGCTTTTCAGTGCAAGTTTCAGTAGACGGCTTTGGCCAAAGCTGTCACTGTTGCTCTCCAGGGACTCTTGGATTGCTTATGCCTGATGATCTCCTGCAGCCTTAGGTTATGATACAACTCAGATGCCATCCCTAACTCATTTCATGATCAAACCAAACTCTGCATATAATTTCATGGTGCTGCTTTTAAACCATGTTAGGTGCTCTGTTCCTGTCAAGGAAGCTTGAGCACATCTATTGGTAGAATTAATATTACTTTAGACATGTACCTACAATTTAGTAAAAATAACCATTAGCCTACAAACTCCACCAAATCAATCACTCCTGTATTACTAATCACATACATTCCCCAGAGCATATACATGGAAGAACGTAGGCATTAGGAACTGTCTTATCAGAAAGAATAAGAGAAGGAGAAGGAAGTGCGGTATGCTTCTACCAAACCTTGGCTTTCCTCTAGTGAATTGCAAATGTAATTAACAGCACTTAAGTCTGATATGTTTTATGACCCGTTATAAACATCAAAGCAGTCACTTTTTTTTTGAACTTCTCCTGAAACCAGGAAGATCTTTTTTTCCTCCCCCTCTATCTGCTAGATCAGTCCATGTAGGGGTTTCATATGCCTTCCTCATCCGACCATACAAATAAGATGTCAAATTCATTAAGAGAAAAAAAAAAAAAACAGGAAACAGAAAAGCTAATTTGAGCTCCTTGTGTCTCATACAACAAGGAAACAATTTGTTGCTGGCTTGATTTAAAGAACAGTTGGGAATGACATGGAAGTGACAAGTCCTAGCAGTAGTTCACCTGAACAGACACTGTACAGAAAAAGTACATCAACCACACTCTTCAATTTACTCACATGTAGAACAGAAAGGATAATAAGAAGTTACAAAGTTATGATATTAGAAACAGAGTAGCTCCCTTCCTGACAGAACAGTCACTTTTTGCAACTGTTTCACAGTCTATAGTAGCTCAAGTTGACATTACATTCATGTTAACTCACAAGAGGACAGCTGTCTTAAAATAACACAATTTTTAAAAAAAAAAAAGTCACTTCTCAATTAAACTTCCTAAACAATTGTAACTCTTAGGCTTTCACAATCAATTCACAAAACAGTTTAACAACTGCAACTACTAAGACTGGTGCTTTACTGTTTCACTTTATAAAGTCTTTTCAGGAATACTAATTTTCACTCAAGTACAGATGACCTTTTAGCAACAAAAAAAGAGAACCTTGAGCACATATCTAATAATGTTTATAATCTTAACATAATAATGACTGTTACCATCTGTTCCTTCATGCAATGCTTTTTCTAGTCACATAGGCTGTTATTCTCCTACAAAGCACTATAACTAAACTCAGCAAAAATTAAAATGCACACCAACATTCCACTATCTTAAATGTATTTTCTCTAAAGCTCTATACAGTGTATAGAATATTTTTCTCATATATTGTTTCCTTATTCAGAAAGACTTCATCTGTGTTCAGAACTGTTAAATAACCCTAAATACATTATCAATACACAACAGAGATCCCAGAATAATCCAAGTATTACAAGGGTGAACTTCGAATCATTGATGGCAGCTGTCAAATTTCAAAACATGCATTCATAGATTTGTTTGTGTTCTTCTGGGGGATTTTTTTGCTGTTCCATATAACACACATTTTATAATTTCGCTCCATCTTCCAAACCCCTCAGGACCTGTCATCCTCTGATCTAAGAAAAGCAAACAATACTACAAGTGCTATGATCTGTCTGGCACAATGTCAGCAAAACACTGGATGCTACTAATAACAATACTGTTTCTTAAATAATCTAAATAGAAAAAAAATAAGGCTACATCATGCTTCAGATACTGATGTCTCAATGTAAAATTGAATGTCACCATGCAGAAAATAAAATGTAATTGGTAAACTTTTAAACTAAAGAATAAGGACTTGCAGCACAGCAGCTTTTCTCACTAACTATGATGGCCCAAGTACACACGCACACCACACTTTCACTAAGCCCCTGGTGTTTTCCTACCTGGACTTCTGTTCAGATATTTACCTTTCTGTATTAACTGCAATATCTATAACAAACCATTTCCTATAAAATGAATTTTGTAAAAAATTAGCATTTGGGCGTGTTTATTGCCAATAGGCTGTTAAAATAAATTAATCCCTTCATCCTCTTTCTGCAGTATGTTGCCCAAAACATCAGATACTTGTATTAATCCCCTTTCCTCGGATAATGACAACCTTGAAGTAAAGTGAACGAAGACATAAGAACAACCTCTAATTCCAAACAGAACCAAAAGGTTCCTGTCTTACCACTATCTTCAGCAGTAAGATACAAAAAAATACTAGTTGTGCAAGTACGCCATCTGCTGGCCACAAATTAACTTGGGCAAAAATATTCTAAGGAAAAACATATTCATCAATGGCATCCATAACTTCCTCACCAGCAGTTTGGTAACAGGGGTATTTCCATCTTTTTCTCTAACCCTCACTGGGCTGTACATCATGGCATGGCTGTCACATTAACTGCTTTGTCTGTTCACACTCCTTCTTCACTGACTATTTATTTCCACTAATTTATCCATTGTTATTTATTTTTAAATAATACCTATTTAATCATAGCCATTAAGACTTTTTTTTAATTCTACCTATTGCCATTTTCTTCTCCACTTCTTTATTTCCTATTCCCTGCAACTTTCAGTGCTTTCTTTGTCTCCTCTTGCTATGCACCTAGCATCTGAGTTAGAACTGCTGAATGCTGCTACTCTTCTCATGGCACCCTTGGTATTTTTGGGCTCACCTTCCTTAGCTTCCCAATCTAAAGAGAGTGCAACTCCATGAAAAGGAAATCTCTGACCTCTCTGGCCAGTCAGCAGTTCAAAATTGGATATTACTGCATTTTGTTTTCTTAGGAAATTTTGTTCATGCAATAGTAACCCTAAGATACTAAAGGCAAAAGAAAGCACAATTAAAACAAAGTATACATTTGTAAAAAGCTACACCAGAAGGATTTATGTGCCAACATTAAAAGAAAAAAGTATCAGAGAAAAAAATAAAAAGGCAAGCTTCTAGTTTTTGAAAGAAACATTGCTTTCCCACGCTCCATGTTGGTCTCCACAACATAGCAGACATCTAGCACGTCTCTTCATCAGAACTCACAAAATCAAAATCTTCAATTATCTTTGAAATCAATTTTATACAGCTATTTGAACACACTACAGAATTTGGACTTCGTTTTCTCTAAACAATACACCATTGGACATTTATAGCTATCTTTCAAAAATCACATAACCTAAAATTGAATTGCCTTAAGCCATCTCGGCTGACCATTTTTATCTTTGGACAGGGTCTTCAAGTAATTTGTCTTCTGCAAAGCAATATAAAACATTAGCAGAGCCACAAACCATCTGCCACAGGGAAATTCTACTTTTTTTTTTTTTTTTTTGAGTGATTGGAGAGGCAGTTACATGGAAGATGAAATAGCTCAAGGACTCCACACATAGGCGATTCTTTTGGAGAGAAGTATTTTTAAATCCTCAAATCTTTTTTTAAATGCTAAAATGAATTTTTATCATTTCCTCTGTTAAGCCTCATTACTTAATCCTTTCAAAATCTAGTCCCTATAGCTACTTACATAGCCTAAATGATACCAATGGATATTCTGTAATTCTTTGGAGATCTGTCTTAAGAGTCTCTTTCTATCCATGGAGATCTTGGCAAAACATCAGCAAAATTCATTTCCTTAGGAAGTTTCCACTTCATCTTTTTTAATTCTAGAGGTACACAGTAATTGTAAGCACATTTCCAGGAAACTGCAGGCATTCCAAGAATGTATAAAGTACAGCTATCAACTGTCCTCAGTGAAAAAGAGAGAAATAAAGGATTTAAACTTTTAATCTTAAAGTTATTTAATATAACATAAAAATTCCACAGAGGTGCAAGTATACTGAAATTTTAATAAACAAATAAACAGGAAGGAATCTTAAAGTTCTGGAAAGTTCAGAGTGAAGAGAGGAAAGATTCATGATGCGAAGAGTAGCAACAGCTTGCTGTCTAGGGAGAGAACTGTCTGATTCATACAGATGTAGCTAATTTCAACCTTGCTTGGAGTCTTTAAAGTGAGTAACACAAAGATTTCACAAGAAAGGTAGATTCTCAGTCACAAAGTAAGAATCGATCCTCTAACTATAGTACCCTTTAAATGAGGACTGAAAGAGATAAACATAAAAAGCTATGCATACTTCATCATAAATGCTCCCATTGATATCTGCTCCATAAATCGGTGCCACAAAAGTCAAGTTCTTCCAGTATTTACGCTCCAGATCTTCATAATCCACGTATCTTGGGGTGCAGTACCTGCAGAGGAAGAGGCAGGCAAAAGTTCAGCACAGTCTTTCAAACACCACATTCACAATGGACTGTGCTTTTGCTCCTCCATTCTGAATTCCAAGAAATCACTTCATTTCAAATTCACTGAAACAGAGGAATTATTAGTTGTTCTGAATTCTTAGTTTTGTGATTCATCATCCCAAGTAACCTCCTACCTGACAGCTACAGTAACTGAAGTCATACACCCACCCAAACAACATTTTCTTCAGTCTCCAGCAGCTAAATGGCACATCTACTGACTGTCCTCAGGCCGAGGCCCACCCTTTTGTTTCTCTTCCATAAAGGAGACACACGTGGGAAAACAACTTAATTGACAAATATTTGTCATTTGCCAGCTCTCCAAAGATGCAGAGGTAGGTCATGCACAAGCCTGTATCAAAATAACTCAAATGTACCAATATTGCCAAGTAGCAGCCCTCCCAGGCAAAATCAGCACTTCCTTCACTTCCTCCTTCCTCAGAAAAAAACTTTTGAGAAAAGGCATACTAAAAATTCTGCCATGCAGTGAAAAAAAAAATACTTAAGGGAATTTTTCTCTTTACTCTTCTAGCACAGCACAGGGCACTCTGCCCTTATACGCCCATAGATACACCTCTGTATATACAACAAAAAAAAAAAAGATGCAAGGCACAGACTGAGCACACACCATCCTTTTAAAGGCAACTCTGATTTGATTTAGACATTCATGGTCCTCTCTTTCCCAAAGGAAATAGGTAACATCACAATACTCAAGGAAAGAGTCTTTAACATAGAAGTCTTCTTCGTTAAGGAACAAAACTGGTTTTATGAGAGAATAGGGGCACTCAGCTGCTTAACAGTTTAAGACATACAGCTTGCATGAATAGTGTCATGGGAGGTTATATGACTTCTCTAGTCCTGCTTGCCACACTGTTTCTAATACAAGCAAGGACGCCATTGGCCCTCCTGGCCACCTGGGTACACTGCTCATTTGTATTCAGCCACTTGTCTATCAGCACCCCCAGGTTCCTTTCCTCCAAGTAGCTTTCCAGCCACTCCTCCCCAGGTCTGTATCACTGCTGGGGTTGCTGCAGCCCAAGGGCGGGACCCACATTTGGCCTTGCTGAAGCTCAACTGACCACGGCCCATCGACCCAGTCTGTCAGAGTTTCTCTGTAGAGCCTCCTTACCCTGTCACCCTCTGCCTAGCACAATTCAAAGAAACCACAGTAAAGGAACAAAAACACATGCCTTACTAAGCAAGACCCCTCATATACATACTTATCACTGTTGGCCAGCTCCTTGAACTCCTTCACTGTCATTGGCTTTTTCTGAATGTTGTACTGTGTGAAGAGCCCAGACTGACCAGTGACCATCTGCTGAATTGGGGCTGGAATCACCAAATCTTCAATATCATCATAATGTTTTCTTGGCTTCCACTCCTTTGGTGGGATAACCTTTAAATACAGAAATAAAAAAAAAAAAAAGGCGTCAAGAACTGCAATATCAATTCAAAACATTCAGGGAAAAAAAAATCAAAAGAACCAATCATATATGCCCACATGATCAAATGGAGATTCACCTACCAGCTGTTTAACAACAACTGGCCATATAAGTGCTCCTAGATAATGCAGAAACCAACTCAAAATGGGCATAGCATTACCTCAATTTGCAAGCAGCAACTCACTAATCAACAACAATTCAACCATGTGCAACTACACAAATATACACATGTATAATAACAGAACAACCATTCAATAATTGGAAAGCCTTATGATTCACAAACACTTTGTATTCCTTTACATGAAACTGTTATCCTCAATTTTTAAAATAAATAAATATTCATAAGAGTGATAGTCCAAATGTTATTTGCTGTAAACAGCATGAATAACTATTTCTTACTGAAAAAAAAAAAATGAAAAAAGTACAGCTACGTTATAGAGAATTAGATTTTAGAGTTACTAGGAATTTCAAAGAAGCCTGTAGTTGTACAAGTGTTCTTTAACAGGTTGTGTAGTTTTGAAAACTCCTTGCATGTACTATTTTATCTGAAAACAGAAAACCCTCTAGATTTGAAACCACAAGTTTTAAAACAACAGCAGACATTTTCAATATATACTTTTGGTTTGGTTTAGAACTTTTACTTGCCCAAAGGCTCAATTATATGTTCTTTCATCCACTCATTATATTCCTTCTTTCTGCAGTGCTCAAACCAAACTTTCACAGACATTGGCTTGGAAACTTTTGAAATAACATACAACAAACCAGGATGGCTTTCAAAAACATGCACCTACCACATACAATTTACATTACTTGTATAACTAATTCACATCTTAGAGGTAGCATTCACACTAGGCTAGCTATGCTGTTCCCTCTAACAAGTATTCCACATACTGTCTATTAGAGGTTTTCTATTACTTCACTACAATAAAGTAAAAAATTCAAAAAAAATAACACAGATCATGAGATCATTTGCTACCTTTGGAAAACAATCATAAATCAGCAAATTGTAACACTAATGTACTCAAATCATCCATCTCTCAAAGAAATCTGATCAAGACCATTGATGCTAGCAAGCACACGCCAAAACAGAAACATCAAGCTGAAGAAAAGCCATCAGATAGTAACATACTTCCATACCTAATGTTTTTATTTTAAACATAAACAGGCTTTTTTTTATCCACTTTTTACACAAATGCAACTCCCTCTTTTCCTTCTTTTCCTTCTCACCTTCCACAGGACTTCAGCTGCAGAGGGACTACTTAGTAAGTTTCAGTGTTGTTTGCTCTTAGAGAAAAAAAATAATCATATCATCTTGTGATTCCTACTTACTTCTCTCACACATTTTAAATTATATGCACATCAACAAAACACAAAATGTAGGTTTTGAAATAGAGAAGTCACGCATTAAGAATATATGCATAGAAATCAAATATGTGCACAGAGATTTCCATTTTCATGACTACTAAGCATGAACTTGTAGGTTTGGCTCAAATACATGAATACTGAAAAGGAAAATTTGCATTATCTTTTTTAATTCAAGGTCAGTGTGTTTTAAGCACTAAAAATATTTTTGCGAATACAATATAGGTTCAAAATATGCCCTTCCAGCTAACTGGGGCATGTTTATTATTGTTGTAGAACCCCGGTTAGAGAAATTCATGCCACGGGGACTTGTACAGAATCACAGAATTGTTCCAGTTGGAAAAGACCTTTAAGATCATCAGGTCAAATCATTAATCTAACACAGCCCAGTTCACCACTAAACAATGTCCGTAAGCACCACATCTACGCATCTTTTAAATACTTCCAGGGATGGTGATTCCATCACCTCCCTGGGCAGACTGCTCCAGTGCTTTACAAACCCTTCCAGGAAGAAGTTTTTCCTAATATGCAACCTAAACGCCCCACCAGCACAGCTTGATGCCATTTCCTCCTGTCCTATCACTTATCACTTGGGAGAAGAGTGCGACCCCAGCCTCCCTACAACCTCCCGCTAGGTAGCTGTAGAGAGCAATAAGATCTCCCCTCAGCCTCCGTTTCTCCAGGCTAAACTACCCCAGTTGCCTCGGCCACTGCTCATAAGACTTGTGCTGTAGACCGCTCATCAGCTTAGTAGCCCTTTGCTGGACACGCTTCAGCACCTCGGTGTCCTTCTTGAAGTGGTGGGCCCAAAACTGAACACAGTACTTAAGATGCAACCTCACCAGTGCCAAGTACACAGGCATAATCACTTCCCTAGTCCTGTTGGTGACACTATTTCTGATACACGCCAAGAAATATGCTAAAGCATCATATGCTAAGCATGTTTTTAAAAGAAAATAGAGACACTGCCCTCACAGATTAGCATTTTCAAACAAAGGGCTCATACTGAAGATAATAAAAAATCATGTCCAAAGCAACACACAGCCAGTCAGTATCAGAGTTGGAAATAACTACTAGGTCTCTGACTTTTTACCACTTATCTGTCCCACCGAAGCCTCTTCACATTCCCACTAGTAAAAGTAACCTCTTTAATAAAAAGTTAAAAAAAAAAAAGGACCTTTAATAAAAGTAACCTCTTCAAACTCAGGCAAGTTAGGTTTATCCCATGGAAGCAACCTAGATCGCATTCATCAGAAAAGCTGTTCAAAGGGGAAAACCTAAGGCAAGGCCTTCTTATTTACAGACTTTGATTGCTTCAGGGATCT